CACACACACACACACACACACACACACACACACACACACACACACACACACACACACACACACAAACATAAATGGACCCGTGCAGGGTTCGGAACATAGATTGTCTATTAAGGAGTGTATTAGGAGAACCCAGGGGTCTGGCATTGAGACAGTTTGTGTGCCATTAGAGCGGGATTTTATGTTGTTGTCTGGTGTCCATTGATACTGAGTGAGCACACACACACATATATATATATATATATGTACAATCGCACACAGACACAAACATTTATCATTCAATGAACTCTCCAACATGGGAGAATTATGCCAGCAGGAGGCATACTTGGAGAAACGACAGATTCTGTCATTTTCCTGCTCCCTACCTGAGTGAAAATAGTGTCTGTTTTGTTACAGAGGAGCAGTGATCAAACAGATGCAGTTATTTGTCTCCTTGGACTGCATCTTTCTGGGACTGAAAACCGGTTTTAAAAGAGCTCTATGACCCACACAAAATACCCGTCTCTCGTGATTGTTTTCTATTTTGGTCCTCTTCATATCTCAGCGTGTGTGCACGTGTGACTTGCTTGTCCCAGCAGTGCCAGATTTGTGACGTGCTGAGCTCGGTAAATAATGTTTTTTCCCTTGGAAATTTAAAAGCAAGATTTTGGTTGTGTAGAGCATGTATGAATTCTTTAACACAGTCAACACAACACAGATGTTGGCGGTGTGTGTTATGCATAGCAATGGCACACACTTGTATTAATGTAGCAGCGGGGTGGCGTCCGGTAGTAAGCAGGGCGATTGTCATTAACCTAAAGGACCTGGATGAGGCGTCCTCTGCTGTTTTATCTAATTTGACCTGAGACTTTATAATCGAAACTTTTAAGAACGTGTGAGACTTTGTCACTAGATTCTCATTTATGGCTCCATTGTATTTTACAAACCAGGACACTCATATTTGCAACTGACATCAGTGGCCAATCAAATCTCACCCAAACTCTGTGCTTTTCTTTACTCTTTTTTTGGTCTTTTCCTGACTAATTGCACTGCATATAAGCAGTGCCAGTGTTTTGGCAGTACATGCAGCTGCAATTGTCTGTCTAGCAGGTCTCGTCACTACGAGCAACCCCTGTCACATAAATGTAGTCATTTGATCATTTGTCAATATAAAAAAAAAGTTTGATCAGTGTAGCTTCACAGACAGACGATTTTAAACGTAAGACCTTTGACCCCTACGTTAAGGGTTTCGCACATGAGAACAAACAGAAAATTAAAATAAATTAAAAAGTTTAATTTTCATCTCCAATCATCCACCCACAGTAAAATATCCCATGATGAATTCACAGCATCTAAATAATGGCACTGAAGAAAGCAGGCTTTTTTTCTCATGTAATCTTTAATAGTTATTGTTGACAGGGTTACAGTGTTAATTCAGAGCTCTTGTCATGGAGCACGAGGTGAAACCGATCACTGAGGCGACAGCAGGAGGTCCTGCCAAACTTGGTGCCCCTGGATTTGCCCGAAGGACCTTTTAGAAGTCAGGGCCCTCTTTCTTCAGGTTCTTGTAGTCTGTGTTGACGGCCACAAACTGTGTAAGGCAGGAGGAATACATTTAAATATGTTTTGCTTAAATTAAATCCATCAGTCCCGTCTTTACATGGGGGGGAAAAAAAGAAAGGCAGGGGTGAAAATTTTCTCCCCTCGAGTGCAAATGTACACTCACCGAAACACACTTATTCAAAAATATGCTTTCTAGCTCATTTATTTTCCAGATTTTGTCTTGCTGAGTCTTTTTATAATGGGTAATATAAATATTGTGTGACAACATGCATGTGTTCTGCATACATCACATCCCTCCGACCATGAAAAACATACACTTTTGCGTCTGGCAGTGATTATTTTTTTTCCTGTGTATTTTTCTTGATTGGTCTGCCATTAAAACCCTCAGCCCCCCCCCCCCCCCCCCCCCCCCCCCCCCCCACACCTCTTTCCCACTTCCCCCTCCTCATTATGATCATTGTTTGGACTTCTGTGGAATTTCGATGCGAGACCTTTGCCTCGCTATCAAGAATTAAACATGCAGCATCCTGACCTTTTGTCTGCAGCGACTTTCATTCGGCTGTCAAGCAGCAAAGCCTTGAAACGCTCAGAAAACTCTCTGTTCTTTGAAAAACACATCAGCCAAATCTCCTCTTCTGGGACTTGTGAGTTGGTTGTTTTTCTGCTCTATTTTGGGTCAGCGTTGATAATATTTTCATTAGTTTGTCTGAGGCTCTGGCCTTGTTTAAAAGGTAAGGCAAATTATTACCGACCACTTACAGCTCCCGGTTCCATCTGCCTTAATTTGTTTTTGAAAGACACTTTGTTTTCCTTTTGTTAGAACAAAAAGAAAGCCAGACGCAGCCGTGTTGATCTGACATTATTTTGCCAACATTGGTTGGTCCAGATCTATTTCGGTAGGTTGTTAGGCTGTCGATGATGAATGTGAGATTCACAGTGACTCAAGGAAACAATGGTATTCTCGTCTAGATCAGTGTTCTGGCCGGCGTGATGGTGTGAGCGAGCACGTGTGAGGGGAGTAGTTACCTTATACTGGTAGGTTGGGTCCAGCTTGTTCCAGGGCTCCGGGTTGTTCTTCTTGTCCCACAGGCTGCAAATGTGGAAAGATTGAGGCCATGCAGAATAAAAAGAGGAAGAGGGAAGAGAAGAGATGGGATATAAGGAACAGGCATGCACGATGGAGGCAAATATCAACATACAGATCAGATGCAGAGTAAAGGAAGACAAACAGGCCGAGACAGAGAAGACAGAGGAACAGAAGGACGGAGACAAAAGGAGATAAATACATGGATGTTGGATGGAGACACAAGTTGGATAGAAAGAGAGGTGATTATGAGATGAGGTGAACTCAGCCCAGTGACTTGGCAGTGCTTCTCCCTTCATTATCCAAAGTCTGGATTTCACAGAGCTCCACTGCGACTGTCCATCCCTCCTCCTCCTCCTCCTCCCGCTCTGGCAACATGTCACGCCACCAAAGCACAAACAAAGAGACCGAGACACTGGTGGTGGATGGTGGAGCGAGCATGTCTCCCCCCTCTCTCCCCATTACCACAAACACTGGACGGTCTCTGAGAGCGAGGCAGCCACAGACCACAGCACTCATCATCAGCCGGTGATGAGGTCAGGCTTTATGGCTGACCCTCAGAACAAGTGGTTGTGTGAGGCCCAAAATAGGACGCGAACAGTGCACATTTACTGTATGTGGGCAGTCCCTGAGTTCAGTGCATATTCTGAGATATGACAGTAGAATATTGCTAGCTTTGTTTCTTTTTAAACTTCAAATTCAGTGCACTCATGTGGATGGCTGGAATTATTGGCAGATTTTAATTTGTATTCATCTGATATCCTAATCCAAATTGTTTATGTCCGTTGTTCAAGTTTAAAAAACACGAAGAGACCATTGTCCAATACATTATTAGAAACTTGATTGTGCTCTCAATTCAATTGTAATGTAAACAACTTGTTTTGGCTGAGGAAGAAGCAGGGTAGAAAATGATATTAGTCGCATAACATGATAAATTATGATTATATTGGTACTTGATGCGGTGAATTTAAAGATGTAACGTTCTTATTTTGCATACCTTACTTCATCCATACTTGTCCCAATTACTGGAGGTCCAGATTCAGAACTATTTAGCTGAAAAGGTTCAAAGATGGTTATATTATTAATAAATAAAGGGTAACTCTGCTTTCGTTTTTGTAGTTCAATAAGACCAACCGTCCACTTGGTATAAGAGACAGAAACTTTACATTTTTTCTCTCCCAAGTATGCACAGAACTTGCGTGATAGACCATAGTTTTTGTTTGCCTTTGGTTATTTACAAAATGTATGTTAACAAAGTACAACTGATTATCTGCTGTCTGTGACACTTGGTGTTATTTCTTGCTAATAAGAACAAGTGAGATTTATTTGCCTCAAAGCTGAGCGATCTGGGTTTATGTCAAGCCGGGACACAGATCCAAAAGCTGACTGGCTATCGGGACCCGACTCTATTGGCACGATTCAGAATTCTCAAATGAGCACAGCTTTATGTATCCAAGGTTTGGATTCAGCTCATAATAGCCATGTTTCCATTCAATTGTCAAGCAAATTTAAGCAAACTTTGAAATGTTGCAAAAAACAAGGAATGCAAATTAGGCGCTGGTTTGGAGCGAATAAAGTCGACTGCACAGTGTAGTTTGGCCAGAAGTTGGCACTATCTGTGAGCATATAGCCTTTTCTTTCCTCAGCGCAAGTGCCTTTCTTAATTGTTCCCAACGAGGACAGAGTGTGTGCTGCCTCATGCGTCTGTCTAGTTAGAAAGTGCTGCACCCAGCATCTTTTTTCCTCAGGTATTAGGAGCAGTATCAGGATGCTCGTACATATTATGCTGAATTTCTACAGTGAATACAATTTATTACAGACATTGGTTTTGGGAAAATTTGAAGGTTTGTGACTTAATGCAATTATGCAATTTTAAGCTAAGCGTTGGCTTGTCCAGATGCTCTCCACAATGTTTTCCTGTTCAAATGGCCTATGACTCATCCAGATGACTTGATATGGAGAGGGCAGAGGGGGTACAGCCAAAGAGTAGAATGTTGAAGTATAATAATAATAATAATAATGCATATAAGTGAGTACCGGCCCACTTCGAGGACTAGTGTGTACTTGTAGTTCCGTTAGCCAAACACAGTCCAAAACAATACCCCACCGTGTCTCTGGCTGCAGAGTAGCGGCTGGCGGTCGATGACCTCACCTGTGTTATCACTTGCGACCCCGAGCAGCCAGGGGCCGGTGTTACGAGTGGTGAGTGAGGAGTAAGCAGGCAGTAAATGGCAGTATGAAACAGGTAATAAAATGTGTTTTGATAGAGTCTGAGTCACTCCAACCACCAGAGGTCCTTGAGCATGCAGCTGTAACTGGGCACCCAAAATATTATGCAGTTTGCTGCAGCAGAATGCAAGATTAACCGTGGACAAACACAAAGGTGCAGACTCTCTCTACCAAGGACGCACAGACTCACAGACTGACGGACACAGTAACACACAACCGAAGACTACAATGGCTACAAGTTTAGACAGACAACCATCTTACGTGACATGAGGTCCACTCGCCAGGCGGAGCAGATAGAGGCTGGCACCTGTAACGCCCAGCATCAGGAAGACAAACTGAGGGATTAACTGAGGAGAGGAGAGGAGGAATGCATTAGTCCCAGACCACGGAGACATATGAGGATAAACAAACATATTCTATCAAGTGGTTGGCTGTGATATGTACCATAAACATACACCTGTGTAGAATACCCCCCCCCCCCCCCCCCACACACACACACACACACACACTGTATAGACACACGTACACGGGTAGTTGTTATTCCTGTTTTTACTCTCCTTGCCCTCCTCCATATGCATGAGGCCCAGGCCATGTGTGAGGAAGCTCACTGTCAGCCTGGGTTGAGCGGGCAAGGACACGCTGGGAAAAAGAGCTGCTGCATCTCTGTGTGTGCCAGCCTCTCCTCCCCAACACTATACCTGTCAGACTGATCGACAGCATCACACACATACACACACACACACACAAAAATTGAGAGCGAGACATGTGCATATATGTGCACACACATGCACGTAAATGAGCTTACACACACAAACACACACGCACAGTCTGAGCACTCAAACACACAGGCACGAATGTGTGCACACCCACACACACACACTTTCATTTGATGTGCTGAGCAGTAAGGATGACAGGAATTAAAATAGAAAAGCGCATAAGGGGGACAGGGGGATAATGTGGTATGTCATCTTAAACACCTAAAGCTTAGCTGTGTCAATCCTCTCAGCGAGCAGCACCTATTCATCAACGCTACGCTGCCATACATTCCCTGTCTACTTTGCTACATGATTCTCTGTGTACTGTATGAGACAGAGAGAGAGAAAGAGAGAGGGGGGGGGGGGGAGAAAGAGAGCGGGGGAGAGCCACACCACATTCAAACAGCTGTTCTCAGCCTGCACAGATCTAGTCAAGCTGTAGAGAGATAGAGAGATGACAGTTTGATCAGGTTGAACTGAAGGATGTCTTTTCTCAGCTGCATCTAGACATCTGTTTTTCTGTCTGATTGCAATGCCACTTGCCTTGTTGTTGATTAGGAGAATGATGAAACTTTGACATTCACTAACTTAAAGCCGCAGTAGAGAGATGAGCACACAACTATTTAACAACTCTGACTTAGAACATGGACCTCCTGCTTCAGACACACACTCAAGTGATCAGATGCCCAAGTGTCGGTATTGTAAAGATTAGGAATAGGGCTGCAACTAACTGTTTTATTGCCAATTAATCCCAATTCATTTCTCAAATCAATTGTGTTTATTAAAAGTCAGAAAACGGTAAAATATCACAATTTCTTGAAACCCAAAGTGAGATCTTCAAATTACTGGTTTTGTTTTCAATCCATTAGAAAATTATTGTCATGAAAAAACTACTTAAATGATTATTCAATTAACAACAAGGTAGTTGCAGTATGCCGTGCAATATTCTGAACGTGATGAAACTATTCATGAAGTCCATCCAACATTTGATCGTCAGTTATAGTTGACTATTGTATGTAAACTTAGGTTGCCACCGTAGGAACAGTGGAAACATAACCCGGGAAATGAGCCACAACCTTACTGTACGGGTGCACGCATGCACATGCGTGCGCTCCGCTACTTACCCAAATAGCACACAGTGTTCCCTTGATGTTTGCTAAATCTACAAGTTGGTTCATTGTGAGCTTCTCAACTTCCCCAAGTTAACCCTGGGAAAAATGCTTATTGTGCACAACTCGTTGTCACTGCATACACACACACACACACACACACACACACACAACGCTGACTGCAGACGCTCAGCTTCGATCATTAAAGTAAACACAAACAGCCACCCGCTCACAAAAAAACAGAAGCAGGTCAGCTTTGATCAGTCAAACACACACACACACACACACACAAACAAATAATCAAGACAGGCCTGTGTGTTGGGAGCTGTCCACTCCCTAGTTCTGATATCTTTTTATCCTGCCACACAAGAGAGAGTTTCCCATTTTACCATTGAGTCTGACCGATATAGGAAGTGGTTTATAGTCGCTGGGGTTCGATACTGTTGCTGCCCTTATTACTTTTCTGGTGCACTGCCAAACTAACCCCGTCAATCCATGAATTTGGGTCACCCTCAGCATTGCTCTGAGGCAACAGAAAACAAGCAGAGGCAGCTTCTGTGTCTTTCTTTCTTCATGTTATCATTATAGCAATGAAGCAAATGAACATGCCAGTGATGCTCAGTAATCATGTGCAGTCACAGTGCTTGTTTTTAGTTCAGATGACCAAATCAGTAATGATGATTGTTTTAATGTTATGTAACAAAATAATCTAAGGTCAAAGGTCCATTTACTAGATTTTAGAGCTTTCAGCTCCATCTCACAGACTTCATTCAATCAATGGAGCCGGTTAAGGTGTTAATGTTATATTAATGTCAATATTGGCAATGTACGCTAATATTCTACTATTCAATTGAAAATGACTAATTTGATACGGGTCATGTAGGCCACATGTTCTATTTGGATATTGCGAATTAGGCCTCATTCCGAAAATATCTTTTTGTGATTCAAGGCATGTGGGATATGCCGATATTATTCAGGATTTAGGAGCATTCTTTGGTCACGCATTCTGAATAAGTGTGTCGATTGGAGTTTTTGCCGCAGTTGCGTCATTGTGGCCAGCTCTGTGCATTGTACACAAACCAACAGTTTGCAAGGCTGGTGTAGATATGCATGCACAAAAGAAAAGCTCACATTTCTGGTCAGTATGTTGTATAATAATTTATTATATTACATTATTATATTGTAAACAGCTTAGTAGGGATATCGTCTTTTTCAGGTATATTTTGACATTGTCATCGTGGCAGATATTATAGTATAATGTTTTTTGTTACACTTGATTTGCGCTGCAACTAATGCTTATTTTCATGAACAATCCATCTGCCAATAGTTTTCTTAAATAATTGATTTGTCTATGAAATGTCAGAAAATGGTGCAAAATGCTCATCACAAGTTCCCAGAGCCCAAGGAGACATTTTGTAAATGCTTGTTTTATACAACCAACAGCACAAAACACTGATATTCAATTTTCTATAGACCAAGAAATGAAGCAAATCCTCACATTTTTTTTATCTGGAATCAGTAAATGCCTTCCATTTATAGTAATTACAAACTGCAAGTGAGTGGAACATTTGCTTAGTGTGTCCATATATACTTTGTACATATACTGCACATGTTTACTTTCTAGACATATATGTACAGTATGTTTATTTTTACAGATAGATAAGTAAGGCTTTCCCACCGTTCAGTGAATTCAAAAGTGATGATCAAATGTCTGAAACTTTAAAACCAAATATCCCAGAAAAGCGATCCACAAAAAGTAAACAACGGAACTTTCGTTTGCAAATGTCAGATTCTTAGGCCTCGTCATTAAGTGACAGAAAGAGCTTGATATTAGTCATAGATAGAACCACAGAGCTCAATAGCTACATGAATATGATACAACCTACCCCAGGATGTTTCTTCGCTTGATCAATCATGGTCTTAATCATCTTTATTATTCTTCCAAAATCAGCGAATATATTCTCCAAATGAAAATGAAACTACATAAAAAGTAAAAACAGCTAATGTCTGACCAATGTATCCATGTGAATTAAAGTCCTGTGCAGATTAAAAGAAAGAGCTGTTTGTTAGCTGAAGTATGAAGTATGTTGGCCAGTGCAGTGAAACCTTTTGCCAATCCCCTCAGCTCTGTCCCTCGCTCTCCCTCCCCATTGGACGAATGAGAGGGTCAGAGGCGGTGAGAGACAGTCCTAATCCTCATAATCACATCTGTTGAGGACACTGTATGTTTCCACTGAGGCTCATTGAGTTCTCTGTGTCCTAAAGTGTGTTGTTATACAACAACATAACAGCAGGTACTTAAAATCCGATTTTTACTGACACGACAGATACAGACTGACATTTTCCAAACATTTTCTCCCGGAGATGCAGCAGCGGTGCAGCCTGCTCCTATAATGGCTTCATGTTCAGACCTCACACCCAGAAAGCATATGTTGTTGGTTCATTTCGCATTCTGTGGTCGTTTCAAGAATGACACACCACTGTTGGTTTTATGAATAGCATCACTGCTGCTTTTTTGCAAGAAGCAGAGAAGAGAGAAGTAATGGCGGCGTCCAACGTGTCCCTCGGGTCGAGACCTTTGTACCTGACATGATGTCAATTGATTAGTCAGTGAAACAGCAACTGCAGACAAATTCCTGAACAGCACTTTGGAACCTAATGTAATTAACACCAATGCCACACTGTGCGAAATGCACAGGTCGTCACTTTTCCTAAGTTACGGTACCTGTTGTGTTCTCACCATTCATCATGCTTAAGTGGGTGAAGCAAAGTGGTTGCACTTTTAGCCACGCTGTAGTGGCTCTAGACTGACTTAAATATCCCATTACTATTGGATGGATTGCGCAGTTTTGTATTTTGTCATTTTATGTCTCCAGAGGATGAATCAATATTTTAAGATATTCAGTACTTTGTTTTATGATGAGATACCTCCAAAACTAACATTCCCATCAGCTGCAGCTGGTCTTATACTGTGTTCAGTGCTAATTAGCAAATGTTAGCAACTTACACTCTGGTTTACAAGAAAATAACCCAGGAGCAGACTTTACCATTAGGCAAGGTAGGCAACTGCCTGGGGCCTCAACTATAAGGACCCCAAACAGCTACAGATCTATTATGTTAAGATGTGAAAATATTGAATTATGTTACTATTCTAACTCATTGTACCCCAATATAACTATATATATATATATATA